CACCCTTCCAGAACTGGACAACCGGGCTGTAGCCGTCATTCGGCTATAGCCTGGTTGTCAAATGGTTAATAGATCTTCCTGCTCTGAACTGCCTGTACAAGGTATACATACAGGTCTCAAAGTAGAAACCAGTTATGCTTATGCAGTTGCAAGCTTTCTTTGTACAAATTCAGGCATTTGATATTGCAGTCATTGTAAGAGGAGAGTTATTTCTGACTGCTTAACTCAAAGCGCAGTCTTCTCCTAAACTAAAACACAAAAGCTAAAAAAAAAAAGGCAACTATACACCTTTCATAAGTCCAAAGAATTAACATTTAAAAACCTTTAACGATCGCATACACTGGCTCTACACCGGTATTCTAGTGAGCTAAAAAAGGTAGACCATTGTTAAAAGCTCCATAAAGAGGATTCAAATCAGTTTGCTCTATGGGACCTAGAAGAGGAAACACTAGCTGAACCATCAAAAGTTAAAGCAGCGTCCAACTGTTGTGGGATGCCATATTAAAACATATGTCCTGGTCATATCCTGGCAGCCATCTACAGTAAGGTCAGGTACACAAGACTATCAGACAAAATTACAGAGCAATCGTCTGATAAAGTGATCATTCATACACAGCTTTTAAGAGCCCATCACGACAGTTCATGTGAAATTATTCGAAGGCACAAAAATGTATCTTGTATGATAATAAAATGGACAATTTGTTTAAACAGTACAGTATTTGTCCGTAAAAAACCCAAGTGACCGAGACTTGCTTGGAAACTAAAGAGTACATTACATTAGCGCAGGAAGTTGTATTCTGCCTTAGGCTACATTCACACTAGCTTTGTCAGCAGGCGTCTGGGAAGTGTTAACGCTTTTCGAAGGCCTATGAAAATTCTGCATATGGCAGCACACAGTGCTGTTCACACGGAAGCGGAAGCCTCGTGGCAAAACTGACGCCTTGGGTCAAGTCAGGAGGAGTTGAAGCCTCCCATTTAAGTCTATGGTGCCACTCTTCAAACGCCTGGCAGGCATTCGCAGTGCGGTAATACCATTTAACTTCATTATAGGAGATTGTGGTGTGGTTTTAACGCTTGGCAAATGCCTATAAACCGCCTCAAAACCGCACATAGGGCGTTTTGAGAGAGTTAAAAACGCTTCACAAACGCCTGTCAAATGCTATAGGGGCATTTGGGAAGCGTTAGAAATAAAGTCAAGTATGAACGAGCCCTAACGAGCATTTGTCAACTCTAGAATCCCGTTTGTTTGCAAGTCTCATATTAAAAACAAACAAAAAAAGCCACACTAACAAAATGTACGATCATTCTTCCAATATTGTCATCACGTGTACCAAAAACAGAGATCCTTTCCCCTTGCATCCTCTCTCTCGCACCCCCCTCCCCCCCCCCCCCCCCAATGATCAAGCACCTGCACGCATAGCCCTCTAGCAGGGGACCTTTCTGATTAGGTGCTGCCATAATAAAAGCCCCACACCCCCCAAATGAGAAAATAAGGCAGAGTTCACAAAGAAAATTTTTCTTCTTTTGCATGCACATGTAATGTGATTACAGATCAGCATGCACCTACAAATTATAGTTTCTTGGAGGAAAGGTCTGCTTTAGGTTGCCAAGTTCTAATCTTGCCAATAAAACTAGTCTTGGAACTACCCTACTTCTGACAGTACACAACGATGATCATAGCCACCACACCAAACCCACCAGTTTCATACACATCAATAAAGAATGCCAACTCTCCAGTTCTCTATTGCAGCCAATCAGAACCCAGTATGACCCGTTGTGACTTCAGCAGAGAGAACACCAACTGACAGCCCAAATCTTACCACTCTGAGTAAGATCCCCTGGGAGTGCCTAAAGATTTAGAGTTTTTAGCTGGTAGAACAGGGGGGGGGGGGGGGGAGCAAAAATGTTATTTTTTTATTTGTGTAAAAAACGCAAAATGCAGAAAAACCCCCAAGTTTTTAACACGACTTTACACAGCTAACACTACCAGTGTTATTAAAACGCCCAGTGTGTATGGGGCCCAAAAGTCAGAAGCCACAGTTTGTGTAGCTTTCTGCTTACAGTTTGACTGGAAGTAAGATTTAGGCACCATACACATGATCAGAAAATTGCACAAAAAATGCCACTTTCATAGCGATAGCATGATAATCTGATCGTTCACACACAGGAATAGCCTGAAAAGGGACAAGCGCAAGAATTTTTGCCATACGATACCAGAACCTACAATTTTCATTTAACTGCTTCCCGACCGCCCTATAGCAGAAATACTGCTACAGGGTGGCACAGGTGCACAAAATTACACACACATACATACACGTGATTTTGCATTTCTGGGTAGTGGGCGTGCACACCCTACCTGCGCCACCATTCGCGGCTGTCAATCACCAGATCCCAGCCAGCGATTACCAAGGATCTCCGACAGGGAAGAGAAATGTTTTGTTTACCAAGCTCCCCTCCCAGTCAGCTCAGGCACACTGCTTTGGATGGCTGTGCACAGCCATCCAAAGCAGTGTGCTTACATTGAAGCACACCTACACGGCCACCCCTAGTAAAACACTCCCTGCACACAGTAAACCCCTTCCTGCCCAGTGCCATTAGTACAGTGCCAGTGCTTTCTTTTCACACCGATAACTAATTTGTGTCCCAGGGGATGTCAGCGACACCAAATCAGTTCTCCCCAGTGCAGGAGTCCCGCTAAGTTGCTGATCGCTGCCATTACAAGAAAAAAATAAAATAAATTGCAGTCTCTATTACTGCCATTTGTAAATGCTATAACTTTCACGTAAACCAAATTTACACATTAGGATTTTTTTTTCTAGCAGACATGTAGCAGAATACTTTTGATCTAAATTTATGATGAAATTTGATTTTTTAAAATTTTTTTTTTACTGGACAGGCTTGGTAGCAAAAAGTCAAATATTTTTTTCTCAAACTTTATTTTTAAATAGCAAAAAAAAAAAAACCCCAAACGCACAGGCAATCAAATACCACCAAAAGAAAGCTCAATTTGTGGGGGGAAAAAAAAAAAAAAAAAAAGATGTAAATTTGGGTGCAGTGTTGCATGACCGCGCAATTGTCAGTTTAAGTACCGCAGCGCCATAACACCTTGTCAGGAAGGGGGGGTAAATCCTCAGGAGGTCAAGAGGTTAACCAGTATTATTACACTTTCTCTGAAGATAAAAACCAGATCCATTACTTCCAAATTTTTATTCCATCATACAAGGTTTTCCATGGCTTTAGAAACCACTTCACATCTGATATGAGACTATCGTGCAAAAAAAAAAAAAAAAAAAAAAAAAAAAAAAAAAAAAAAAAAAAGGGCTTATCATTTGTCCGATATTGTTAACGTGTATACTGGGCATTAGGCCAATTATGCACAGATGTAATAAATGATTGAGGTCTATGCTTTCTCACACTGTTAGTGGGTTAATTGGTCGGCTGTTTTTCAGGGATTTGGCACCTTTTTTTTAGCGGTATAGTTGAAAAAAAAAAAAAAAAAAAAAAAAACGGCCTATTTTGCTGATCGGTTTATTTTTCCGGCAATGATGGGCAAAATCGGCCGATTGTTTTACCGATAAAAAAAAAAAAAAAAAAAAAAAAAAAAATCTGTGCATGAGAGGAGGAAGAGAAGAATTCCAGTCCGCAATTATATTTGATATGAAAAAGTATTGCGGTTGCAACAACGTATCTATTTGCATCCGAAATGGATACATTGTTGCTAACACAATGCTTTTTCATGTCAAATATAATAACGGAGCTCTATGCAAGGAACAGAAGTAATTAAATGCCGGACAATTTTTTGTTTTTAAAAACGGCCAGTTTTCGACCCGTCTATGGCCTGCATTAGGCTGCTGTCACACCGATCCATTTCTCTTCCGCTTTTGTATTTAAAAAATACGTGACCGTGTTTTCCCATGGAACTCTTCACACTGATCCGCTGTGTTTTTTAAACAAAACTGCACCAAAAACACAGCACCTCATTGAAATCAATAGAAAACGAACAAAACCCCACCAGATGTGCGTTTTGATAGGATCAGTGTGGAAGCAGCTTAAGGGTTGGTTCATACTATAGAAATGCGTTCCAGATGTGTTCCTGCATTCACTTTTTTTGGCATGTTCCAGTGCGTTTGACACGTTCCGGCATGTTCCCCCCCACTACAAGGTACACAGGGACATGTGCGTTTTTGGTGCATTCTACCACGTTCCAGTACAGTCCTGTGCAGGAAAAATGCAGCCGGTTCTACTTTTTTCTGCATCCGGAACGCACTGGAACTGCAAGCACTGATGTGAACTATGACATTGACAACCATATAACCTACTTATTGTGCGTTTTGGATGCAGAAACAACTGAAATGCATGTAGCGTGAAGTGGCCGTAAAGTGTTCTGCAAAGTCCTCACATAAACGCACGCAGGCGAATCTTCCTTGTCTAAGCGCCAGTGTTGCTGCACACACTCATTATCAAACGTCTGATTATTAAACGGCGGTGCCCATGCTGTATGAACGGATCTGTACGCAGCTGTGTTGTTCCAGACAGACATGTGCCTGTGATCAGATCAGTAATGACCCCGGTATTTCTTCTGGGGGGGCCCCAGGTAAAGGCTCAGAACTCAATGAGACGTCACCCAGGGGGAAGCAGGCCTCAGTCCAGCCATGTGACCGGCTCACAGACCTCACTGGCAGAATAAAGCCTCCTTGTGAAGTCCGATCAATGGAATCCTCACTACAGGGTTCACCTCACAGCGGAGTATTCATCCCTCCCGCCATGTACACACATGGAAGGCAGGGAATGGTTTGTCGTGCCGCCCGCCCGCACATAATACGTACCCCGAGGCCGCTCCGCCGTCTGTCCACAGGAGCCATCTTGTTCCAGACACAAAGCCGCCGCCGTTTCCTCCTCCTCACAAGTGGCCGGCCATTCCCCCAACTCACACCTCACCACACACACGTTCAGCCCTCGGGCCAGGCGGCACAGAGGATCGCCGCGGAATTCATACTCACTCTGGTCTCCACCTTGTTCCATTCTGCGTCGCTCATGGTTGCCGCGTCTGCAGGTGATGAGGGGTGTGCCGGTGTCTCTTCTCTTCCTCCAGGCGCTTTCAGTATCCGTACCCGCCAGTCGGTGTGCCTGCGTTGCTTTCCTGTGAGCCGCTTCACAAAATGGCGTCCGGCTTCTCTTCTGGCGGTTCATAAGGCGGAGCAGAGGGCGGGCCTGTTCCAGAGGCCGGGGGTCTGGGCGGGCTCCTATGTGCTCATGAGGGGGGCTGGAGGCGGCCATTGCTGGACTATTGATATGAATTGGCTTCTGATAATGGCTGAGGGAACTTTTCCAGCTCTGTCTTGGTGCACTGAGCTTCTTCAGCCATTAAACATAGGGGCTCGTTCACACCACATGTGCAGGAAAACTGATGGAAACACGTGCGGGTGTCACTTGCAGAGACATCAGTTTTCATGTGAGCCTCAATGAGGTTTATTCACATTGCAGATTCCTGAGCAGAAAAACAGTCTGCAGGTGATACTAGTGTGGTGGTGTGAACAGGGCACATAGAGAACAATTGATTTCAGAGGGGGATACAGTCTCAGATGGGGTATTGTCCTGCCTACATGCTGTTCTGTGATCTCCACTTTAAACTGTCTCCCTGCAATGCACTGATTTTCTGCAAAACTCAGGATAATTGGTGCTAGATCTTTTCATCTGTGGTGACTTGAGTCTCACCTCCTTTGCCTTTCTGTGATCAGAGAATCAATCATCTTTTATGACTTTGGCCTGTGACTGGTCTGGTTTGGACCAACCTCCTTCCAAATTCATGTGAAGAGTTGCTTATTTGGTCATCTCCCTATAAATTTAAACCAGGTTATGGGGGGAGGAGGGGTACAGTCGCAGACAGGGCATTGGCCTGTGTGACTGTATTTTCTGCTGGAGTGCAAAACGGCAGTTGGACACAGCCATTGAGTGCATTTTCTGCTGGAGTGCAAAACTGCAGTTGGACACAGCCGTTGTACATTTTCTGCTGGAGTGCAAAACGGCAGTTGGACACAGCCATTGAGTGCAAAACGGCAGTTGGACACAGCCGTTGTGCATTTTCTGCTGGAGTGCAAAACGGCAGTTGGACACAGCCATTGTGCATTTTTCTGCTGGAGTGCAAAACGGCAGTTGGACACAGCCGTTGAGTGCCATTGAGTGCATTTTTCTGCAGGAGTGCAAAACGGCAGTTGGACACAGCCGTTGAGTGCATTTTCTGCTGGAGTGCAAAACGGCAGTTGGACACAGCCACTGAGTGCAAAACGACAGTTGCACACAGCCGTTGTACATTTTCTGCTGGCAGTTGGTGCAAAACGGCAGTTGGACACAGCCATTGAGTGCAAAACGGCAGTTGGACACAGCCATTGAGTGCAAAACGGCAGTTGGACACAGCCATTGAGTGCAAAACGGCAGTTTGGACACAGCCATTGAGTGCAAAACGGCAGTTGGACACAGCCATTGTGCACAGTTTTGGACACAGCCGTTGTACATTTTCTGCTGGAGTGAAAAACGGCAGTTGGACACAGCCGTTGAGTGCATTTTCTGCTGGAGTGCAAAACGGCAGTTGGACACAGCCATTGAGTGCAAAACGACAGTTGGACACAGCCGTTGTACATTTTCTGCTGGAGTGCAAAACAGCAGTTGGACACAGCCATTGAGTGCAAAACGGCAGTTGGACACAGCCATTGAGTGCAAAACGGCAGTTGGACACAGCCATTGAGTGCAGTTGGACAAAGCCATTGAGTGCAAAAACGGCAGTTGGACACACAGCCATTGAGTGCAAAACGGCAGTTGGACACAGCCATTGAGTGCAAAACGGCAGTTGGACACAGCCATTTTTGAGTGCAAAACGGCAGTTGGACACAGCCATTGAGTGCAAAACGGCAGTTGGACACAGCCATTGAGTGCAGTTGGAACAAGGCAGTTGGACACAGCATTGAGTGCCATTGAAAACGGCAGTGCAAAACGGCAGTTGGACACAGCCATTGAGTGCAAAACGGCAGTTGGACACAGCCATTGAGTGCACGGCAGTTTTTCTGCTGGAGTGCAAAAACGGCAGTTGGACACAGCCGTTGAGTGCATTTTCTGCTGGAGTGCAAAACGGCAGTTGGACACAGCCATTGAGTGCAAAACGACAGTTGGACACAGCCATTGTACATTTTCTGCTGGAGTGCAAAACGGCAGTTGGACACAGCCGTTGTGCATTTTCTGCTGGAGTGCAAAACGGCAGTTGGACACAGCCGTTGTGCATTTTCTGCTGGAGTGCAAAACGGCAGTTGGACACAGCTGTTGAGTGCATTTTCTCCTGGAGTGCAAAATGGCAGTTGGACACAGCCATTGAGTGCAAAACGGCAGTTGGACACAGCCATTGAGTGCAAAACGGCAGTTGGACACAGCCATTGAGTGCAAAACGGCAGTTGGACACAGCCGACGAGTGCATTTTCTGCTGGTGTGCAAAACGGCAGTTGGACACAGCCGACGAGTGCATTTTCTGCTGGAGTGCAAAACGGCAGTTGGACACAGCCGACGAGTGCATTTGCTGCTGGAGTGCAAAACGGCAGTTGGACACAGCCGACGAGTGCATTTTCTGCTGGAGTGCAAAACGGCATTTGGACACAGCCGACGAGTGCATTTTCTGCTGGAGTGCAAAACGGCAGTTGGACACAGCCGACGAGTGCATTTTCTGCATTTTCTGCTGGAGTGCCAAACGGCTCTTGGACACAGCCATTGAGTGCATTTGCTGTTGGACACAGCCGTTGAGTGCATTTTCTGCAGGAGTGCAAAACGGCAATTGGACACAGCCTGTTGAGTGCATTTTCTCCTGGAGTGAAAAACGGCAGTTGGACACAGCCATTGAGTGCATTTTCTGCTGGATTACAAAACGGCAGTTGGACACAGCCATTGAGTGCATTTTCTGCTGGAGTGCAAAACGGCAGTTGGACACAGCCGTTGAGTGCATTCGCTGTTGGAGTGCAAAACGGCAGTTGGACACAGCCGTTTAACTAAAGCAGGATGACTCAAGCAGCAGGAAGATACAACAAAGAACTCTACTGCACGCTGGATGGACTGTAAACAAACACCCTGGGAAACATCTAAAATTTTGATTCCCTCTCCATGTACCTTTTTTAATATGCCCCCTCTACTCCTACTTTTCATAATAATATCCTCCTTTCTAAAAATGTCATTTCTTTAACCCTCTGCTCAATCCCAAAGCTTATACAGTGAGGAACAGAAGTATTTGAACACCCTGTGATTTTGCAAGTTCTCCCACTTAGAAATCATGGAGGGGTCTGAAATTCACATTGTAGGTGCATTCCCACTCTGAGAGACAGAATTTAAAAATAATTCAGGAAATCACATTGTATGATTTTTAAAGAATTTATTTGTCTTGCACTGCTGAACATAAGTATTTGAACACCTGAGAAACAGTAAGAATTCTGGCTCTCAAAGACCTGTTACTGTGCCTTTAAAAATTCCACCTCTACTCCACTCATTAATCTAACTTAGTAGTACCTGTCTGAGCTCTTTAACCACCTCCCGCCCGCCATATAGTCCAATGACGGACGCAAGGTGGTTCTCTCATTCTGATAGGATGTCATATGATGTCCTGCCATTCTCACCGCGCATGCGCGGCTCAGTGAGCGCACGGCGATCGGCGGTGCTCTGTGTCCCTCGGACACGGGATCACCGATCACGAAAAGAGCCGAAGATGTCGGCTCGGTCATGTGATCAGCTGTGTTCAATCACAGCTGATCACATGTAAACGGAAATGCCGGTTATCGGCATTTCTCTCCTCTCGAACTGTCACGCTGACAGCTCGTGAGGAGAGCCGGTAATTGGCTTTCCATGGAGGGGACATGTACACTGATCATCAGGGCACTGATGATCAGTGTGGCCCCAGAAGTGCCAGTGCCACAATGCCACATATCAGTGCATACCAGTGCACATCAATGCCACAAATCAGTGCCCATCTGGGCTGCCCTTCAGTGCCACCTAACAGTGCCAGTCAGTGTCGCCTATCAGTGCCATATATCAGTGCTGCCTTTCAATGCCCATCAGTAATGCCTGTCAATGCCCATCAGTGCCACCTACCAGTGCCTCCTCATCAGTGCCACCTATCGGTGCATCTTATCAGTGCCCATCACTACAGCCTCATTAGCGTACATCAGTGAAGGAGAAAAATCTTTTATTTACAAAATTTTTTATAACAAAAACTTTTTTTTTCAAAACTTTCAGTGGTTTTTGGTTTTTTTAAGAAAAAATAAAAAACCCAGAGGTGATTAAATACCACCAAAATAAAGCTCCATCTGTCACAAAAAAATGATAAAAATGTCATATGGGAAACAGTGTTGCATGACCGTGCAATTGTCATTCAAAGTGTGACAGCGCTGAGAGCTGGAAATTGGCCTGGGCAGGAAGGGGGTATAAGTGCCCTGTAGGCTAGTGGTTAAAGACACCTGTCCACCCCACAGTCAGGCAGACGCCAACTACTACTATGGCAAGACCAAAGAGCTGTCAAAAGACACCAGAGACAAAATTGTGGACCTCCTCAAGGCTGGAAAGGGCTACGGGGCAATTGCCAAGCAGTTTGGTGAAAATAGATCAACTGTTGGAGCAATTGTTAGAAAATGGAAGAGGCTAAAGATGACTGTCAGTCTCCCTCGGACTGGGGCTCCATGCAAGATCTCACCTCGTGGGGTATCACTGATGATAAGAAAGGTTAGGAATCAGCCCAGAACTACAAGAGAGGAGCTGGTCAATGACATGAGAGCTGGGACCACAGTTTCAAAGGTCACCGTCGGTAGAACACTATGCCGTCATGGTTTCAAATCATGCATTGCACAGAAGGTTCCCCTGCTCAAGTCATCACATGTCCAGGCCTGTCTGAAGTTTGCCAATGACCATCTGGGATGATCCAGAGGAGGCATGGGAGAAAGTCATGTGGTCAGATGAGACCAAAGTAGAACTTTTTGGTCTAAACTTCATGTTTGGAGGAAAAAGAAGGATGAGTTGC